AAAAAAAAAAAAAAATAACATCTTGAATCTTGCATGCAAATGGATGGAAATAGAGAACACTATCCTGAGTGAGGTAATCCAGGCCCAAAAAGATGAATATGGTATGTACTCACTCATTAGTGGATTCTAGCCATAAATAAAGGACATTGAGCCTATAATTCACGATCCTAAAGAAGCTAAATAGGAAGGTGAGCACACCCCCCCAAATGTAGTTATCCTCCTGGATATTGGAAGTAGACAAGATTTCCAGTTCCAGGCAAAAATTGAGAGCTTGGGGATGGGGGTGGAATGGGGGTAAGGGGAGATGGGGAGAAAGAAGTGAGAAGGGGAGGATGGGGAGAGATTGGGGGAATGGGACAGTTGGGATGGAGGAGGGGTGGATATGGGAGCAGGGAAGTATATATCTTAATTAAGGGAGCCATTTTAGTGTTGGCAAGAGACTTGACTCAGAGGGGTTCCCAGGTGTCCAAGGAGATGTCCCCCGCTTGTTTCTTGAGCAGCTGAGGAGAGGGCACCTGAACTGGCACTATACTATAGCCACTCTGATGAATATCTTGCATATCACCATAAAACCTTCATCTGGAAATAGATGGAGATAGAGACAGAGACCCACATTGGAGCACTGGACTGAGCTCCCAAGATCCAAATGAGGAGCAGAAGGAGAGAGAACATGAGCAAGAAAGTCAGGGCCACGAGGGTTGCGCCCACCCACTGTGACGGTGGGGCCCATCTAATGGGAATTCACCAAGGCCAGCTGGACTGGGACTGATGGAGCATGTGAACAAACCGGACTCTCTGAATGTGGTTGACATGGAGGGCTGACTGAGAAGCCAAGGACAATGACACTGGGTTTTGATCCTGCTCCATGTACTGGCTTTGTGGGAACCTAGTCTGTTTGGATCCTCACCTTCCTAGACCTGGATGGAGGGGGCAGGACCTTGGACTTCCCACAGGGCAGGGAACCCTGACTGCTCTTTGAACTGGAGAGGGAGGGGGAGGGGGAATAGGAAGAGGGGGAGGGAAATGGGAGGAGGGGAGGAGGTGAAAATTTTTAATAATAATAATAATAATAATAATAATAAAAAGCTAATATCCATATAAGAATGAAAAAAAGCTCACTGACAAAAGCAATCAGCCAACTATTTCACTTTTCAGAATACCTTACTGCATGAATGCAATAAAGGCATTTTCCTATTCAAAATAAAAAGTCCTCTTGCTTCAGGTTTTTAACAAGAGTTTTTAATGTATTGGGCATAGCTATCCAAATCCTAAGCAAATAACAAACACAGCATTTTCTTCTGTCCAAACTGAGTGTGGTCAATAGAAGTTACGCTGAAATGTAGACTAAGCTCTTGAAACAGATGACGATTTCTATGAGGTTGATAAAGAATGTACAATTTGAGAATAAGCTAATTAAAGACAAAATAAAAGTTTGAATCAAAAGAACTTTCTTCTCTAATTACGAGAATTATATTAAAAGTGTTAAGACACAGCCTGAATACACTAAAGCCTCTCCTAAATATTGAAACTAGTTTTGTTAAGCAAGACTACAAACAAGATAAATATTCAATCTAAATTAATGATTCAGCAAATCCTAACAGTTAGACAATAAAGTATAACATGCTGAAAAGCACTTTAATTGTATAACAAGGTAAATAATTTTGTGTATCGCTTTTAAAACAAAAGCAAACAGACACCATTTTATTTGTGAAATTTTAAAAATGCATGCTAAATATCAATATGAGAAAATAACTATGATAAAGTGTTGAATGAAAATTTAAAAGCACATCCGTAAAATGATCCCATCTCTATGGAAAATTTAACAAAAACATATGAATATATCTATATTCATACACACACACACACAAAACATAAAATAAGATGTTCCAAAATGTTAAAAACATTTCTCTAAGCACTAGGTTATATGGTGTATTAGTCTTCCTTAGCCTTTTTTTTACTTCTATAAATGAAATACATTCTATTTGAGTAAAATTATTTATAATAATAGTTCTCAAAATTTTGGATATTTGAATTCTTACACTCTTGAGGATCCCAAAGAACTTATTTATGTGGCTTATATAGATTTATATTTTTTTTTTAAATATTTATTTATTATGTATACAATATTCTGTCTGTGTGTATGCCTGCAGGCCAGAAGAGGGCACCAGACCTCATTACAGATGGTTGTGAGCCACCATGTGGTTGCTGGGAATTGAACTCAGGACCTTTGGAAGAGCAGGCAATGCTCTTAACCACTGAGCCATCTCTCCAGCCCCCATAGATTTATATTTAAATATAGAAATTAAAATTTTTTATTTGTTAAATTTTAAATGACAGTAATATTTCCATGAAGATGGATGCTATAAAGTAATCTCACACTATCACAGAATTGAGTATAGTAAATATTTATTTAGGGGTGGGTAGACGCACAGATCACAGTCTTCTGCATAAAGGGGAGAAGAGGAACTGAGGCCAACAGAGGGGCAAGCTTTATGGTTGCATTTATACTATAAGAGACCACGTCTAAGTGGGTATCTTAAAAACTGAAGAATGTTCTAGTGACCTTAGGGTAATCATGGATGCTATTAATTGATGTTATCTAGAATTAAGAGGTTATACTACTTCTACAAGTAGTAAGATTCTTTTCTGTTTAGAAAAGCTTTACTGTTGTGTTAATATTTCAGCAGATATTATAATAAGTTTAAAAGACAGAGAGACTACTACAGGCTTCAAAGTAACAAATGAAGTTTATACAATTATTACAAAATAAATTATTAATTGATGTTAGCAAGTATTAATAGGTTAAACTACTTCTACAAATAGTAAGATTCTTTTCTGCTTAGAAAGGCTTTACTGTTGTGCTACTATTTCAGCAGATATCAAAAGTTTAAAAGAGAGAGACTACCACAGGCTTTAAAGTAACAAATGAAGTTTATACAATTAAACTATTACAGAAATCTATGAGATTTACTAAATAACTAAAAGGCCCAGAAACAAATTAATCTGAAAGATTAAATTCAGTATTAGCATTTACAATGTTTTTAAAAATTAAACTTTAACTGCATCAGCCATTACTTATATTTCTTAACTTTCTCTTAAACACCGCTGTCAAACCCCTAAAAAACAAAGGACACAAATTAAAATCTTGAGAGCATAGAAACGGAGAAAATGGCTTGAAATTGTAAGTTTAAAATGGAAGTAAAACCTTTGTTCTTGAATGTATCTGGCTTTCTTCAGAACATCCTCAAACATAGAGAATTTGCATGCATAAGATGATAGTAAATAGTGTTAAGCCAAACGGCCTCAGGATACAACTGACTTGCAACATTCTCTGCTTCTGCATAAAGGTTATTCAGAGTCCAGATATCAAACTGTTGTCCATCAATCTCATCCTCCAGGAGAACTTGTTCTGGAACTAGTAGTGTGTATCACTGTGCTCTCTCTGAAGGAACCCTTCCTGAACTCCACCAGCACCTGCTGCAGTTCATGGCAAGGAAACCACCCACCCACCACTCCTCCTCATTCCTCCAACAGTTGTCGCACCACCAGTGATAAGGTTCTTAAAAATTACTTAAATGTAGAAAGTGAAAGACAATGAACCTTTTGTTCTACACTACAACTGATTTGGGCCACCTTACACTTTGAACACATCAGCTATTTGTGCATGATTCTATAACATTATGCACTAATATTTGTCCTACTTAGCTTCAGATGTCAACTTACACAATTCAGATTTAAGAGGGAGTCTCAACTTAGGGATAGTCCAGATCAAACTGGGTGTGGCCACATCTGTGAGGGGTTGTTTGGTCTTAACTGATATACGAGTGCCCAGCCTACAGTGACCCAACAATTCTTAAGCAGGATGTCATGGGCTGCATAAGAAAGCTACTGAATCACAAGCCTGTGAGTGAGCCAAAGAGCAAGCAGCATTCCTTCATGGTTTCTGGTTCAGGTTCTTGCCTTGAGCTCCTGTCCCAAATGCCCTCTGATGACTGTGACCTGGTAGTGTGAAATAAACCCCTTCCTCTCCAAGATGCTTTTGGTCAGAGTTTACTATCACAGCAACAGAAATCAAACCAGAGCAGACTCATTAAGTCATGTAAATCTGACACATCTCATTACAAAATATCAAAAAAAAATAGCCATTAATTTTTACCAGTAGTTCCATCAGAAAAGCTTAAGTCATCAAGATCAAGAAAAAAAAAGATGATACACATTTTCTAAAACTGAAGCTTTGCATCACAGTCGGTAGCAGTTAATGCCAGGGTACAATTGTAACATGAGGGTCTGCTTGTTGGGGTTTCTGTCCTGCCCAGTTCCCACAGCCAGTAAGGTCCCAAAGAAAATCACACAGAAGTCTATATAAGTTATAAACTGATTGGCCCATTATCTTAGGCTTCTTATTAACTCTTATAACTTATATTAACCCATTATTCTAGTATATGTTAGCCACACGGCTTGGTAGCTTTTTCAGCTGGGCAGGTCACATCTTGCTTCTTCCGTGTCTGGACAGGACTAGGGAGGAATGGGCTTCCTTCTTCCCAGAATTCTCCTGTTCTCATTGATCTGCCTCTACTTTCTGTCGGGTTGTCCTGCCTATACTTCCTGCCTGGCAACTGGCCAATCAGTGTTTATTGACAGAATACAGAATTGTCCCACACCATAATGTTCAAAATTGGGAAGAAGCAACTACCAACACTCAGCCATGGATGCAATATCTATATCAATGTACCCCACAAAGGCTCAGGGAATATCAACATTGAAATGACGTCCTCTGGATATGAAATGGCTGCCACACATATGAACCCACAACAACAGTGGTTACGCACACAAGATCAAGACGTTTTAAAATTCTAGCACAGAGGGAGGAGGGGCTACTGAAGTCTCATCCCCAGTTAGAGAGTTATTGGTGGGCAATGGCTCTGGGAGAGAGAGTCACTTTTCTTCAGGAGTGTGGACACTGGAAGGTTGTCCATGTCCCAGTTGCTGACCCCACACACACGCATATGGGCAGCACTAATGGACTCAGTGGGTTAGTTAGCTTTTTAAATTATAAACAGAGGGCATGAAGTTGGGAGGGAGAAGCAGGGAATCCTGGAGGGAGTAGGACTGAGGGGTGGGTATGACCAAGACACATTGTATATGTGCATGGAATTTTCATAAAAAAGATAAAAAAATTTGAGCTTGTTTTTCATTAGCAACATTAGAGTTGTTTTATTGAAATGATTAGCTATTTTATTCAGTATTAAAGTAGTTACTACTTATTATGTGTATGTATTTGTGTTTGAGTATGTACATGAGTGCCAATCCCTACAAAGGCCAGAGAAGTCAGATCTCTTAAATCTGTCTTGTTTTTGTTTTGTTTTTTGTTTTTCGAGACAGAGTTTCTCTGTAGCTTTGGTGCCTGTCCTGGAACTAGCTCTTGTAGACCAGGCTGGCCTCGAACTCCCAGAGATCCACCTGCCTCTGCCTCCCTCGTGCTGGGATTAAAGGCGTGCGCCACCACTGCCCGGCTCTTGAATCTGTCTTTACAAGCAGACATGGGCAGTCCAAGACAGGTGCTAGGAATTGAATGTGGGTTCTTTGCAAGAGTTGTATACACTCTGAACCACTGAGCAATATAATCAATTGTGAATAACTGGCTTGTCAATTATTCTTTTGATTTTTTGAGTGGATTTTATGCTGTTTACAACTAAAGCAACTGCACTTGCGCTTCTCTCCTGACTGCTTCACATTGCACAGAAGTGTGTTAAGCTACCTCATTTTATCACACAGAATACTGAAAAGATACACACTTAAAGTAGATACTTCATAAAACCCAGTATCTTTTCTATTTCATCAAACACATTCTTTTCTTTTTTTAGGGTTTTTTTTATTATTCTCCATTGTATGTATGTATATATATTTAACATAATATATAAAACATAATTATTTATTTAAGAATTTTGCATCATACACCCCAATCCTGCTCACCTCTCAATCCTTCCTTATCCACCTTTCACCCCTGCAGTATTCTCCCAAAAGAACCCCCAAATGAATTGAAAACAAAACAAAACAAAGCAAACAAAAGAACTACCTCGCTCCTTCATCTTTCTTCTCTCATATATTACATCCTGACTGCAGTTTCCCCTTCCTCCCATCTCCAGAGCCTCCTCCCCCTATCTATCCTCTCTTCCCAAGATCTCACCCTCTGTCTTATTTCAGAAAAGAACAGGTCTCCCAGGGACATTAATCAAATATGGCATAAAATGTTACAATAAGACAAGTATCATTACATCAAGGATGGATAAGGCAACCCAGTAGAAGGAAAGGGTTCCACAAGCAGGCAAAAGAGCCAGAGACCACCTCTGTTCCCACTGTTAGAAGTCCCACAATAACACCAAGCTACTCAAGTCATAATATAGACGCAGAACACCTAGGTCAGACCCCTGCTGATTCCCTGATCTCTGAAGCCCTTGTGAGTCTCAGTTGATTCTGTGGGCCACGTTCTCATGGTGTCTTTGACCCCTCTGATTCCTCTGTTTCTTCCTCCCCCTCCTCTGCTGGACTCCCTGAGCTCCACCTAATGTTTGGCTGTAGGATTCTGCATCTGCTCCCATCAGTTGCTGGATGAAGTCTCCCTGCTTTCTTTGATGATAATTCTCCCATGCTCCAGTTCCAAAACAATATACAGGAAGGAAAGACTGTAGGTCAACCATTTGTGACTGAGTTAGTGTCCCAATCCCTCCACTCGAAGCCTTGTGGGGTTATAGAGTTCAGGTTCCATGTCCCCCATTACTAGGAGCCGTTGCTAGAGTTACTCTTGTAGATTCCAGGGAGTTTTCATTGCACTAGGTTTCTACCTCAACCTCGAAATGCTTCCCAATTCCAGTAATATCTCCCAGTATTTTTTTCCTTCTAGACACATTTTATTCCTGTTCTTCCCAATCCCACCTATACCCAGGCAACCCACAAAATCTATTTCCCCTTCTCATGGAGATCCTTAACATCACCCCTTAAGCCCTCCTTGTTATTTAGCCTCACTGGATCTGTGGACTGCAGCATGACTATCTTTTACTTTACAGTCATTGTCTACTTATAAGTGAGTACACACCATTGTTTGTCTTTCTGGGTCTGGGTTACCTCACTACAGATGATGTTTTTCTAGTTTCTATTCATTTGTCTGCAAATTTCATGATATCATTGTTTTTACAGCTAAGAGATACACTCCATTGTGTAAATATACCATTTCCTTTACCCATTCTTTGAATTAGGGATATCTGGCTTGTCTCCAGTTTCTGGCTATGTTGAGTAAAGCTGCTATGAACACAGTGTCCATGTGTTGTGGTAAAGCACACTTTAGGTATATGTCCAGAAGTAGGATAGCTGGGTCTTGAGGTAGATTAATTACCAATTTTCTGAGAAACTGCCACATTGATTTCCAAAGTAGTTGTACAAATTTTTACTCGCACCAGCAATGGAAGAGTGTTCCTCTTACTCAACATCCTACCCAGCATGAGCTGTCACTTGTGTTTTTGATATTAGCCATTCTGGCAGGTATAACATGAAATCTCAGTCAATTTAACTTTTATTATCCTGATTGCTAAGGACACTGAAAATTTCTTTAAGCATATCTCAGTCATTTGGGAGTCCTCTGTTGAGAAGTCTCTTTAGATCAGTATTTCATTTTTAATTGGATTATTTAGCTTGATGATGTCCAGTTTCTTGAGTTCTTCATATTTTGGATATTAGCCCTCTGTCATTTGTAGACTTGGTGAAAACTTTTCCCATTCTGTGAGTTGCTTTTTCGTCCTATTGACAGTGTCCTTTGCCTTACAGAAGTTTTTCAGTTTCATGAGGTCCCATTTAGTAATCTTAGGGACTGCATTATTGGTTTCTGTTCAGGAAATTGTCTTCTGTATCAATGGGTTCAAGGCTATTTCCCACTTTCTCTTCTATCAGGTTCAATGTATCTGGTTTTATGTTTGAGATCTTTGATACTCTTGAAGGTTGTGCATAGCAACAGATATAGATCTACTTGCATTCAACAATATGCAGACATCAAAATAGACCCACACCATTTGTTAAAGATGCTTTCTTTTTTCCATTGCATATTATTGACTTCTTTATCAAGAATCAAGAGTCCACAGGTGTTTGGATTTATGTCTGGGTCTTTGATTTGATTCCATTGACCAATGTGTTTATTTTTATGCCAATACTATGCAGTTTTAATTACTACAGCTTTGTAGTAAAGCTTGAAATCAGGGATGGTGATATCTCTGGAAGTTCTTTTATTGTATAAGATTGTTTTAGCTACCTTAGGTTTTTTGCTTTTCCATATGAAATTAAGTTTTGTTCTTTCAAGGTCTATAAAGAATTGTGTTGGAATTTTGATGGGGATTGATCTGAATCTGTAGCTTGTTTTGGTACAAAGGCCATTTTTACAATATTAATCTTGCTGATCCATGAGCATAAGAGATCTTTCCATCTTCTGTTATATTCTCCAATTTCCTTCTTCAAAGACTTTAAGTTTTTAATCACACAGATCTTTCATTTGCTTTGTTAGAGATACTAACCAACAAACTATTTTATATTATCTGTGGCTATTGTGAAGTATGTTGCTTCCCTGACTTCTTTCTCAGCCATTTATTATTTATACATAAGAGGGCTACTCATTTTTTTAAATTAATCTTATAGCCAGTCACTTTGCTAAAGATGTTTATCTGCTGAAATTTCCTGGTGGAATTTTTGGGATCATTTATGTGTACTATTATATCATCTGCATATAGCAATACTTGACTTCTTTGTTTCCAATTTGTACCCCCTTTGATCGCCTTTAGTTGTCATATTGCTCTAGCTAGAACTTCAAGCACTATACTGAATAGGTATGGAGAGAGTGTACATCTTGTTTTGTCCCTGATTTCAGTGGTACTGCTTTAAGTTTTTCTTCATTTATTTGATATTGGCTACATATACAAATTTTCTATAATTTGCCTTTATTATGTTTAGATATGACCCTTGCATCCCTAATCTCTCTAAGACTTTAATCATGAAGGGGTGTTGGTGGATTTTGTAAAAGGCTTTTACAGCATCTAAAAAGATGATCATGTGGGTTTTCCTTTCAATTTGTTTATAGGGTAGATTAAATTGACACAATTTTCATATGTCAAACCATCCCTGCATCTCTTGAATAAAGCCTACTTGATCATGATGGATGATATTTTTGATGTATTCTTAGATTCAGTTTGCAAGTATTTTATTGGGTACTTTTGCATTAATGTTCATGAGGGAAAATGGTCTGTATTTCTCTTTGTTGAAGCTTTGTGTGGTTTGGGTGTCAATGTGACTGTGGCCTCATAAAATATATTTGGCAATATTCCTTTGGGTTCTATTTTGTATAATAATTTAAGGAGTATTGGTATTAGCTCTCCTTTGAAAGTCTGGTAGAATTCTGTACTAAAAACATCTGACCCTGGCCTTTCTTTGGTTGGGAGACTTTTAATGACTGTTTCTGTTTCCTTAGGGATTATGGGTCTATTTAAGTTGTTTATCTGATCATGATTTAACTTTGATAAGTGGTATCTATCAAGAAAATTGTCCATTTCTTTTAGATTTGCCAATTTTATGAAATACAGGTTTTTGAATTATGACCTAATGATTCTTGGATTTTCCTCTGTATTTGTTGCTATATCCCCCTTTTTGTTTCTTGCTTTGTTAATTAGAATATTGTTTCTGTCTTTTAATTAGTTTAGATAAGGGTTTGTGTATCTTGTTAATAAAGAACCAACTTTATTTCATCGATTCTTTGTATTGTTCTCTTTATTTCTATTTTATAGATTTCAATCTTCAGTTAAATTATTTCTTGCCATCTAATCTTGGATGTGTTTGCTTCTTTTTGTTCTAGAGCTTCCTGGTGTGCTCTTAAATTACTAATATGAGATCTCTTCAATTTGTTTCTTCAGGATTGTAGCACGAATTATAAAAACCCAGAGACAGATATTGGGGTTCAAGCTGAAGATCAGGAAAGCAAAACAGCCAAGCCACTAGGAAAGTCTTACCTTTACCAAGGCTGGGCATAGGCAGATTGAGTCCTGAGCCTCTGTCTCCTCCTATTTTATAATCCCCATTAGTTCTGGGATTAAATTGTGTGACTCCTAGTATTGGAATGAAAGGTGTGAGCCACCACTACCTGAATCTATTTCTGCACTGATCGTGTGTAGCATAGCATGCCTTTGAACTCAGAATTCCCTCTGATTCTGTCTCTCAAATCCTGGGATTAAAGGTGTGTGGCACCATTACCTGACCTCTAGTGGCTTAATTTTACCCTCTGATCTTCAGGCAAGCTTTATTTATTAAAACATAAATAAAATACCACTATACAGGACAAATATCCCTTCCCTCCTTCCTGTGTCCCCGTCCCTTTCTCCCTAGTCCTCTATCTCCTTTACCATCATACCCTACCCTATTCTAACACAAACCTCCCCTTCTTCTCTTAGAATTACACCTGCAAGGTCATTTGCTGCTGGTTTTCTACCTGAGTCAGAAAACTTTTTCTTCATGCTTAATAAAGGATATCTAGCCAGGCAGTGGTGGCGCACACCTTTAATCCAGAACTCAGGAGGCAGAGGCAGATGGATCTCTGTGAGTTCAAGGCCAGCCTGGTCTACAAGAGCTAGTTCCAGGACAGGCCCGAAAACTACAGAGAAACCCTGTCCCAAAAAAAAGACCCCCCCCCTAATAAAAAAGGATATACCTGTAAAAACAGGTGTGGGTATGGTTTGTACCTAATCTGGAGTCAGAAAGGGAGCCCCCGCTGTGCAGGAGTCCCCTTCAGAGAGCCAGCTTTAATTTGTGGTGGTCTGATAGAATACATAGAGTTATTTCAAATTTCTTGTATCTGTTGAAACTTACTTTATGCCCAGGTATGCAGTCAATTTTGGAGAATGTTTGTGAGGTTCTGAGAAGAAGATATATTCTTTTGTGTCTGGGTGAAAAGTTCTGTAGATATCTATTAGGTTCATGTGGTTCATAACATCTGTTAGCTTCATTATTTCTCTGTTTAGTTTTTGTCTGGATAACCTATCCACTGGTGAGAGTTGGGGAGATTTGATGCACAATTTAAGCTTTAGTAATGTTTCTTTTACAAATGTGGGTGCTCTTGCATTTGAGGCACAGATGTTGAGAAATGAGATGTCATCTTGGTGGATTTTTCCTTTGATGAAAATGAAATGTCCTTCTCCATCTCTTTTGTTTAATTTCAGTTTTAAGTCCATTTCAATCACCACAGATGTACAAAAAAAAAGATATTCCATGACAGAAACAGATTTAACCAATACTTAGCCACAAACCCAGCCCTATACAAAGTACTAGAAGAAAAACTCCAACCCAAGGAAGTTAGCTACATCCACAAAACACAGACAATTGATGTGGGATTTCACTCTGTATGCTGTGATTACCATTAATGAATAAAGAAACTGCTTGGGACCTAAAGCAGGGCAGAATTTAGGTAGGCAGAGAAAATTAAGTTGAATGCTGGGAGAGAGAAGGCAGAGTCAGAGAGAAGCCATGGAGCCACCACCAGAGACAGATGCACTGAAATTTTGCTGATAGGCCACGATCTCGTGGTGATGCACAGATTAATGGAGATGGGTTAAATTAAGATGTAGGAGTTATTCGATATGAAGCTAGAGCTAATGGACCAAGTAGTGATTTAATTAATACAGTTTCTATGAGATTATTTCAGGGCTAAGTGGCTGGAACCAACAAATGGCCTTCCTACTGCAGACACTAGATGATCTCACAGCAGCAAATCCCACAGAAAGGAAAAAGTACATATAATAACATCATCACCAATGAAAACTAAAATAACAGAAACTAATAATCACTGGTCATTAATATCCCTTAATATAAATGGACTCAACTCACCTATGAAAAGACACAGATTGGATAACAGATTGAATATGATAACAGAATCCATTTTTTTGTCAATATGAGTTGTGGACTGTGTACACTGCGGGGATCACAGGCAGCAGTGTGTGGGCTACACAGAGAGTAACATGGGGGCGTGAGCCAAGGAGCGCTAAGCAGTAGCCTGCTGTGTCTGAGGGCCAACTAGAGTAGTGGGTGGGAGTCAGTGCCCAATGTACCATGCAGCTGGCAGACCAATCCCAAAAAGTGTGGTCTGGTCCCCATGTTCAGGCACCAGATGATGGCGGAAGTTACAAAATAATCCCACACTAGTTCAGAATTTGTATAATAAAGGGTTATTTATAAAGGGATACTCACAGATCACTGTCCTAGATCACAGTCCTCTGCACGAATGGGGAATAGGAACAGAGTCTAGCAGCTGGAAGTGAGAGCAGGAAGCAAGAGAGGGAGTGCAGGTTTTACAGCTGCATTTCTAGTATAAGAGACTAAACCCAAGCTGACTGGTATTTTAAAGGCTATTTGCTGAAGGAGCAGAAGGGGCTCCCACAGTAGTTGTCTGTAAGGTTGCTTTCTTCAGGTCTTGCTGTCTTAGGATAGCTGGGCTCTGGTGGTGTCATATTGCCCTGGTTGTTGTTGACTGTAGTCTTACACTGGTGTTTAGGCATCTGGGTTTAAGATGGTTATAGGTCTAGGTGCTGATTTCTTAATTGTCTTTGTTGTATGGGTATCTTGTTCCTTGGTTTCTCTTTCCTCTCTGGTCTTTGTGACAAGGATTTCTGGTGGCCAGTATGACCTCTGAACTAATAGGGAGTCTCTGTACAAGTTGGGGGCTGGTCTTCTAGTAGATCTTGTTGCCTCAAAGCAGCCACACTGGAAAGTCTGTTCCCAGAAGAGATGTCTCCCCAAACTCCTTCCCCCTTCCTTTCCTACCTATATTCCTTAAACACATTCTTCAGTAAAATTAACATCATTTCCTTTTTACAATTAGCACACAACAGTTAAAAACAAGATAATTACAAGTACCGTCTGCTACAGCTGCCTTGGTTCCTTGGTTACTGTTGGTGCAAATGTAAACCCCATGGAAAGAGTCAAATATGTTAGTATTATTAATAAAATAGCTCTTAAGAGAATCTCAGGAACTACCAGGGAGTTTGCAAGCTGTATTTTGAGAACCAGTGTTTTTCAAGAATCATAGGAATATAAAGTTTTGTTACACCAAAGACTCTACAAGATCTTCCTTTATGCTATGTTATAAATTCACTTTTTAAATACAATTAGCAGACAGAAAAGTTATTTTACTATAAGTTTTCATAGGAAATTAAATTTATCTTGAATGCTTATAAAACAATCTATTATTTACCCCACTAACATTCCAGAATATATAATTTTAAGTCCTATAAAAACAGATTCAGCTCTGCAAACAGTAACAAAATAAATACCCTATAATATAAAGAAGCCATAAGTCATTGTACTTAACTGTAACAGAACTTGATTTTGTGTTGCTTCATCTTGAGGATCCTAAGGGGGGAAAAGAGTAGGTTTTATTTTCCAAACTAAGGAATAATAATGAAACAAACCAAAAGTGAAGCATTTCAGAGAATTCTTAAGTGTTTCTTAGCTCCTCATTTTTTTTCTTTTTGAGATCTTAATATAGTTATATCATTTCTCCTTATATTTTCTTCCTTCAGACTCTCCCTTATATGCCTCCTTCTGTACATTAAATGATCAGCAGTTTCTTTTATTCTCATATCAGAACAGAAAAACTGAAGCTACTGCATTCTGTTCAAAAAAAGATAAAATTCACTGATATAATTTTTCAGTTTACGGTTTCACAGTATATTTGCCTTACTCACTTTAAAAAGAACCTTGCCTTAAATATGGTGTCATCGTCAAAAAAATATTTTTTCAAAAAATTGCTCTGGGAGTCCCCTGCATATTTATATGATCTATAGATACAGCTTTCTGAGAATAAAGCACTGGCCTTAATATACAAACATTTTAACAACAGAACAATACAATCCTATTTTTTTTAGAAAAAGCACACAAACACATACAAATCATGATATATGAGAGTCTCCAATTAATGTTCAGTGTGTGTATATACAGGCATATCTAGCTAAAGTTCTGCTACTTGGGCTGATAATACTCTGCCCAAACCCACAAACTATCTAACAAAAACTCCAAGACCAGGCACAGGAAATCTTCTTTGGAGTTGTTGGTCAGGGGAGTTCAAGAGACTTTCAAAACTATATATAGAGACTATTACTGCTGCCCTTGGTTGTCTCCGAGGGGCTGGCGGTAAGTTCCTATTGCTGAAGACACCATGTACTTCAGACATAAGACCTGGAGGATCTAAACTGAATCTGACCTAAAAGCCTCTTCCCAAAGGACAAGTTTGCATAGTATCAGGAGGGGCAATGGAAGCTTCCAAGGGAGGGAAGCAACCAACAGTCTTACCTAGTGCAATGCTTATGAACTACAATGACAACCATCATGGCAGGAAGGCCTAGGGGTGCAACAGTGGCCCTGAAGTACCAGTGGTAACCAACAGCTCTCTAACTGAACTTAAGGCCACTTAACAGGAAAGAAAACATGCCTGACAGTAAAACCTAGTCAACCACCTATGGCTAGTGAGGTCATAGATCTTAGAAGAGAACCTAGTACTACCACTTTATAAAACCAGCCTAATTCCTAACTGCATTCTAAATATCTATCCTTATAACCATAAAAAAAGTGTAACTTTCAACCCTCTTCAAAGAAACTTCTCTTTGCAACCAAAGAAGACCAACACAGAAAGCACAATTGATTAAAATATAGAGAAATAAATGACAGTGGGGTGCTCAGTCACAATCTACACACCTACAACACAGCTCTTGCACCTAAGGCTTGGGGAACATCACAGAAGAGATAGCAGAAAGACGTAAGAGCCAGAGGACCAGGAAAGCTGCTGTGAGATTTTATCTCCTAGAAATGGTAGGAATGCTTCACTTACGATACCTCAACAATACTGGTGTCTAAAGAAGACCCAAAGAAATACACCAATAGATGCATAGCATGGAAAGGGAAAATGTCATGGTGCCCCACCATTGACAAAGAACCATAGGCAACTGAGGAATGCTGAAAGAAGGATAAACAGTCCTCCTCAGGGAAGGGAGGAAATTATGTAGTATTATGTTATATGAGGAGCAGGCCTGCTTTGTCGTCCCGGCCACCTGGCTAGCTTAACCCCCAAAATAACCACACAGAAACTATATTAATTAAATTACTGCCTGGCCCATTATCTCTAGCCTATTATTGGCTAACTTTCACATCTTGATTCAACCCATTTCTAATAATCTGTATAATACCACGAGGTCGTGGCTTACCAGGAAAGAGCCTAACCAGCGTCAGTCTCAGGCAGGAACTTCATGGCTTCTGCCACTCTGTCGTTCTTCCCAGCATTCAGTTTGGTCTACTCCACCTACCTATGTTCTGCCCTATTAAAAGGCCAAGGTAGTTTTTTTTTTTATTCAACCAATGAAAGCAACACATAGAAGAACCTCCTACACCATTGTAATTTAAAAATAAAGTGAAATAAGCCAGGTGGTGGTAGCATATGTCTTTAATCCCAGCACTCAGGAGGCAGAGATCAGCAGATCTCTGTGAGTTTAAGGCCAGCCTGATCTACAGAGTGAGTTCCAGGACAGGCTCCAATGCTACAGAGAAACTGTGTCTTGAAAAACAAAACAACAACAACAAAATACATTAAAAATTTTTTGAGATAACAAATACAATTATAAGCATACTATAGCTAGCCAAAGGGGATCGAAATAAGATCTTTTCTCCCTTGTCCTATGACCATCTATTACTTCAAATAATATAAATATTTCAAAATTTGAAAATAAATCACCTCATCTTCTCCAATTAATGTTCATGCTATTCACTGATTATAGAGTCTACAGACATGGGAGTTACCCACCCATGTCCCATGTATATGTATATCCTTCTACGCAGGCTTTATAAAACTCAGAGACTCAAAGGTCATAAAACGAAACTAGCCTCACCCCAGAATCAGTTTACTAAGAATGGACCTACATACGTCTAGACACTGCTATTGAGTAAATTAGAGTCCCTTCTTGTAGTTCTTAGTCTCATTAATAAAATAATTTAAGAATGACTCAAATGGAAACTTGAAAAAAATTATTAGCATTTAAAAGAAAAACCCTAGGGTAGACAAGCTGTAACTCTCAGCAGCTGACCAGAGCATGGGGGGGGGGGGGTTGAGTCATGTTTTAAATAAGTTGGCATAGAGGTCACCCACACAGCATAAAAGGAACTTTTAGAGGAGCAAGAGAGCTTAGAGCACAAAAACAAACAAACAACTGTCTGGGTGAAGGCTTCACCATAGCCCCTGGTAGCCAAATATCCAAAGAGTCCGGAATGTTTGGGTGGAGGCGTCACCCCAGCTCCTGGCATCCATGAGTCTGGAATGTTCAGGTAAGAGCTCCATCTTCAGAGGGCATTACTCCACACCCCCAGTTTCCCTACCCCCAAACCCCTACCCCCTTCCAGAAGGCCCACCATTGGTGGCTCGACCCCCATAGGGCATAAGAAGCCCTCACCTCATGGTTTCCCCTGGTGGTCTCCTCAACTTTTCCTAGGGTCACCTAGGAATGCTGTGCTCAGAATAAACTTGGATTTATTAATTCAGGTGGATTGGCTTATTACATCAGTGGTCGCAGATCTCCATTAACTGGGATTTAAACTTAACACAAACAAATAAATAAAGCATACTTAGGGGCTGAGAGAAAAAGACAGAAGTAAAGTTACACTGTTCTGAGCCAGACAGACTCAGACAAACTACATGGAAGCTCACAGAGGCCGTACCAGGAAGTGCAAATTCTGAGAAGGAAAAGTATAGTATTTCATTAAAATAATTCATTATCCGGCTTAAATCTTCAGCATGGGTTAAGGTGAGCCCCCCTTCCTTGTGCTGGATGTACGCCAGATGCCAGCCCAATTTGGATGAGCATTTATGGTTTGAGTAGTTTAGAATGCTGGGCCTCCACACAGGCCAGAGAAACAGCGTCCCTGATGGGCCTGCAGAAACTAGATTAAGGTACTGTAACAATATATCTGCATCTCCACAAAACAATTCAATCAAATGACTATCTTGCCCATTTCACTTATCTTCATAAAAGGCCAGTGAACTTTCCTGTGGAGGGCAACTACTCATGATCATTTCCACATGAGGTAATGACAAAGACAGCTAGTTGTTTTCTTCATTTCCTTCTCCACAAGACACAACTCCACTCAAGAGCTAAAGACACTAAATACAATGGTGGCTGGTGTTACTCATTGATCAGTTAATAAACTGAAGAACACACTTTCATCGTCTTTTTTTCATAAGAGACCTGAATTGCTATCTATCTCTTTTATATACATGACTACATTTTTTCTAGCTCCTACATCTTCATATTTTGACCAGACATTAAACTATGTAGGTGTCTTACTATTTTATTTTTTGAAAGTATGATGTGAGAGATTAGGCTAACTGAATCAATTTGGAGGATCTAAAAAGAACCAAATCTGTTTATGTCTTTAAAGAAATTACTCTTTATTGTGTTATCATTCTCTTCAGCTCTTCAGATGGATTACTGAGATTGGCAAAGAAGCCAGGAAAAACAAACAAAAAAAAATCAGAACAAACACCTTGGTTCTCTATGAAAACTTAGTATCTCACATAAACTACTTTCACATGCACTAAAGCAGATTACTTATAACAAATATCCAGTGTTTTACTTATAAATTATTGATAACATTTCCTTAACACATACTTCTCTTGGACTAAGGAGCCTAGTTTTGTTTATACAATTTAAAAATATTAAATTAGTCAATAGCCTCCCTGCAGCAAGCAAGGTAGGTGCTTTGTTTACGAGCTACCCAACCAGCACAGAGCTCTGATCTCGGCACCAGGAGAGCCAACACTGGGGTGAGTTTGGGTCCCGCAGCAGCAGCCTGGGACAGGGAACTCAGACTTTCCTCATCCTCCCTAGACTTCCTGGGCTTCCTGCTGGGCCTAGACTCCCAGCATACTGCCTCTCTCTTCCTACCCCACCCAGCTTGCATCCAGAACCCTCCCCCCTTTCTGCCTCCCTTCCCTCTGGGGGCTCTGGGGCCTATTCCAGAAGGCAACCTAGCAGGTGGGAGCTCCTTTGTTTCAATAGCCTGCCTGCAGCTAGAAAGGTAGGCACTTTGTTTACGAGCTACCCAACCAGCACAGAGATCTGATCTTGGCACTAGGATAGCCATCATTGGGGAGAGCCGTCATTGGGGAGAGACATCACTCAAGCACCACGAGAGCCATCACTGGGGAGTTCCATCACTGGGAAGGTACATCAGTAGGCAAGGAGACCTGATCCTGTAAAAGAAGATACATAGGGAAGCATTCGGAGGAAGAGGTGGGCAGGCGCCAATGCAAGAATTCACCCAACAATCTGAAGAACAACATGAAGCCACCAGAACCCAGCGACCTCACA